AATTTTAATGTCAGATGATTTTTATTTATTTTTTTAGTTTGGTGGAAAAACAGAATATGCAGGACAGGGGGTTCCTTTTCTTACTAATTAAGGAAATAAATTTGTTTCTTATATTATGCATTTCCAGTTAAAACTTTGGCTCTTCTCAAATTATTTATAAGAAGGGTCTATATGAATATAAATAAAAATCATAATACATTTTTATAACTACTGTTTTATTTGGTTTAGATGGCTAAATCTAAAGTTGAATCCTAATAGAAATATTGTGGCACTTTTTTCTTATTCTTTTTTCTTGGCTTCTCCAGCATGTCTTTCCTTGAATGAAAATATTTATTGAAAAGACAGAATTAAGGCATAACAAGATAATTACATTACTGAGCATAGAATAATATGTTGGCTGGAGTCTGTTCTGATCTAATCTATGGTTCATTCTTTTATTTATAGTAATGTGATGCAAGGAATTAATGAGATCATATAGTTGTCACAGTTTAACTTTCTAAAGTACAAATTCAGCAATATTTGTAGTATTCTATAATGATTCTAGTTTTTCATGTCATTCAAACTGTATATCTCATTGTATAGAAGACTTTGAGATGGATGATATCATTTCAAACTGTAAATTAAACTAGTTTTTCAAAACCTTGTTTTACAAATATTGGTGGTAGCAGGAATTTAAAATTTGAATTTGCTCTTTACACCAAGGGTACATACAATGTTTTCAAATTACTTAGGAACCCCATCACATGTTTTTCCTGTGAAGGTATCTCCTTCCCTTACAGTTCCCTTACATTAATGTGTTCTCTGGATTAAATTCATTATAAATTCTTAAGTACTGGCCAGGCATGTTGTATCTCATTGTTGGATAGAGAATACAATATCATCAGTATTCTTTAGCTGCTGCACATTGAAATTGGAAATGATGGTTCAGCTAATTTTCAGAAAAGCAAGTCCACCTTGACTGAACCTCTTGTTTACGATCACCAGACTGGAAAACTACAGAATTAGAAAAGTACAAGTGGTGCTGACAGCAAAATATTGTAATACAATGTGATCCTGCTTAGTGTACCTGTTGTACCTTCTTTCAAGATACTCCAGTCCATTCCCCGAAGTTATGCTCCATTGGCGCAACCTTCTAACTTGCACATGGAATATAAGAGCCGAACCTCCAGGTTACTGTGGAATCTCCCAGCCTAAACTGGAAGAAAAAGCAATAAGTAATATTTCAGGGTTTTGTACTTTTGACTACCTTCATTAAAAGTTCATGTTCATAACTCATTGATTAATTACTGTAAACACATCTTATGAGGGCGTGATGGTACATTAAGAAGACAAGGAAATAAAGTCTTGATTGTCTATTTCAATCACACGTCTTGCATGGATGTACAATAATTGTGCTGAATCATGTGGGGGACATGAGAGTGGCTTTTTTTAAAAAAAACAACACAATCTTACAGCTGATAGGCAAACTATTAGTCTCTTAAAATTTGTTCCATACTAAAGAAGATTGAAAACAGACTGGGAGCTAGTTATTTTTTTGATAAAACCTCACATGAATTGTGTTAAGATTTTAGATTACCTCAGCTGCATTCATCTGTAGAAGATACCACCTAAACCTACTATAACAAAGACACTATATACTGCCCATCTTATGTTAAAAGGCTTGCTTGTTATGATCCCTTATTCCCAATATTCTCCAGAAACATTTTTTAATTGTAGTTCAGTGCCAGACAAGAAATAACATATTTACCTGGATCCTTCTTATGTTTATGCATTCTTTTTTCATGCATTCCATTTGTTTCTTCTTTCAGCTTAAGGGTATCTTTTTCTGCTTATCTATCTTATATTATCACTTACAGGAATATTAGAAGCCTTTTTCCTAGGTTTTTTTTCTTTTTGTACTGTTGCATAGCCTTGCAAATTTAGTATAAAATTTGGAAATAATATCTATGGAATGATTCTGTTGTTGGAATAAAAAGTATTGTTCTGAAAATACGGGAGTGGTATACAGTTAGCCGTCACTTTATGTCCACTACCTGATATTAATTGAAGAATTTTATGGTGGTGGATGGGAATGGAATCTTCTGAGGGTTGACTTTTTATACTCAGCATACTTTCAAGACTAAGCTCCTGTGGTTGGATTCAGCAGGGAAAGATCAGTGAGTCACACTGAGATTTTTTTTCCAGTTTATCAGGCAAGTTTTTGCAACTACTTGAAATATTTTGTAATATGCTCAGAGCTGGTAAATGAACTTGAATGCTTTGGGGGTATTTTTATTTAAATACTTTATATACAGTAGCACAGTTGACTAGGCAATACTACTTAACTGCAGGTACAACAATACAGATGCAGAAAGTTCTAAAGCATACAAAGATAGAAGCTATCTTCTTTATCTTATTCTTTTTCTCTTTTTGTCATTTCCTTGTCATTTCCTGGAGGAAATGACAAAATAGCAATAGCACTTAGACCTATATACCACTTGACAGTGCTTTACAGCCCTTTCTAAGTGGTTGACAGAGTCAGCCTATTGCCCCCAACAATCTGGGTCCCCGTTTTACCCACCTCTGAAGGATGGAAGGCTGAATCAACCTTGAGCCGGTCAGAATCGAACTCCTGGAGTTTGCAGTGAGTTAACCTGCAGTACTGCATTCTAACCACTGAGCCACTACAGGTCTCCTGAATTTCCCATCCCAATTTAGTGTCATTAAACAAGGACTACCTGTAATATCAAATGGTGGTGATACTAAATATATTTTGGTACATAGTTTGATATTTTTTTAAAATAGAAATATTTTTATGCATCCAGTATAAAATTTTATTTATTTATTTATTTATTTATTTATTTATTTATTCATTCATTCATTCATTCATTCATTCATTCATTCATTCATTCATTCAACTTGTATACCGCCCTTCTCCCCAAGGGGACTCAGGGCGGTGAACAGCCAAACTTAAAACACATATAATACAAAAGTTAAGAAAAAACTAAAAATAAATTAAATCATCAGCATTTCCAATTTAAAATCCCAGATCTACAAAACCGAAAGTTCCCAATTTAAAACCCAGAATCAATAAAATCAAAAATTTAAAAACCCCATTAAAACCATTTTAAGCTAGGCCAGCTTGCTGGAATAAATAAGTCTTCAGGGCCTTTCGGAAAGCGCAGAGGTCCGGGATCAGTCGTATTCCAGGAGGTAGCTCATTCCACAGATTGGGTGCCCCCACAGAGAAGGCTCTCCCCCTGGGGGCCGCCACCGACATTGCTTGGCCGACGGCACCCTGAGGAGGCCCTCTCTGTGCGAGCGTACTGGCCGGAGGGAGGTAATCAGTAACAGCAGACGGTCTCGCAGGTATCCCGGCCCTATGCCATGGAGCGCTTTAAAGGTGAGAACCAACACCTTGAAGCGCACCCTGAAGACCACTGGGAGCCAGTGCAGCTCGCGCAGGAGAGGTGTTACGTGGGAGCGCCCTGTGGCTCCCATGATCACCCACGTGGCTGCATTCTGGACCAGTTGGAGCCTCCAGGTGCACCTCAAGGGGTGCCCCATGTAGAGAGCGTTAGAGTAATCCAGGCGAGACGTGACGAGGGCATGGGTGACTGTGCATAAGGAGTCCCGATCCAGAAAGGAGCGCAACTGGCACATCAGGCGAACCTGATAGAAGGCCCCCCTGGCCACGGCCATCATATGTCCTTCTAAAGACAGCCGTGAATCCAGGAGGACACCCATATTAGAACATATATGACAAGAAGTCAGTCCTGAACATGTGAATAATTAGGAATATATAATTGTAACACACCGTAGTAAACAGCTGCTGATCAATTTATAGCAGGGGTATCAAACTGGGCCGGATGCGTCATGCACTGGCCATGCTCACCCCTGGTTTAGCGAAGAAGGGGAAAGTCACGATACATCACGTGACAATGTGACGATGCAAGTTTGACACCCATGCTTTATAGTCTAAACAACTTATAAAATATTTTAAAAGAAACATTGCCTCAGATTCTGAAAACTGGTCCATCTGGTTCAGTGAAAATGCATTACATATTTTGAAAATCTAGAAAGATATAGCAGCAATGGAAGTGAAAGTTGAAAGTACCTAATTCTTTTTTTTTTTTAATTTGATTTATATGCCGCCCTTCTCCGGAGACTCAGGGCGGCTTACAATGCATTAAGCAATAGCCTTCATACTTTTGTATATTTTATACAAAGTCACCTTATTGCCCCCACAAACTGGGTGCTCAATTTACCTACCTTAGAAAGGATGGAAGGCTGAGTCACCCTTGAGCCTGGCAAGATTCGAACTTATTTTAATTGCAGACAGCTGGTGTTAAATTACAGTGCCTTTGTCTGCAGAGCTATCCAGGCTCTTTATACTTTTTATTCAGACTTACTGAGTGTAGTGGATTTTATTCACATTTAATAAGTATACATTTGTAGCTTTAAAGTACTTGTATTTCTATAAGTTCCATTGGTTTCAGTATGTGCAGTTTAGCCAGGTTCATATCCCTGAATTATCTATATCAGGGGTTTCAAACTGAAGGCCCAAGGGCCAGATCCAGCCCATGGGGTGCTTAGATCTGGTCCACAGGGCCGCCCTGGAAACAGTGAAGGACCGGCCCGTGGTGCATTTGCCAGCAAAAATGGAGTTTGGGAGGGCCACGTGCAGCTCTCCCAAGCTCCGTTTTCGCTGGCAGAGGATTGCAGGAGGCTGTCACAGCCAAAAATGAAGCTCGGTAGTCCGTTTTCACTGGCAGAGCGCTCGGGTCACTACAGGCACCCCTGACATGGGTGATGTCAAGCTGGTCATGGCCACCCCAGCCCCCCAAGGTCAAACAACTCTGATGCGACCCTCAATGAAATTGAGTTTGACACCTCTGATCTATATTAACATTCTTGACACCATATCCTATTTCACAGCATAGCTGAATATGATATATTTTGAAGAGGTATCAATTTCTTTTAACTAATTATGCATATTGTCTATCTTCAATATATTATAGATTGATTATGGACGAGGTGCCCAAAAGCAATAATAACAATTCATCAACATCTCCACAAGTAGCATCTTTACAAGGCACCGCTCTACAGGAAGCTCAACTTTCTCATGTTTCTCAACAGGTAAAAATAGCTACCTATGTCCAGACCCATGAAGGAGTTTTAAGTAGGCTACTGCAGAGTTTTCCTTTCTGATGTTTGCTTTCTAAATAGCTTCAATAAGTATGTATACGATCTCAAAGGGTTTTAGGTAATCATATGCTTCCAGAAGAAAACTCAAAATATATACAGATATACTACAATAACCAAGGTTAACGTCAAACCAACAATCAAGTAAACAATACCCCAAATAAGAAACTTCCAAAGAGACATCAGAAAACAGCCCAACCAAAGAATCTCTTAAAATCAACCCCACCCACACAGACTAGCAAGTCACCAGAATATAAACTGACAGCAAACAGCACTCCTTACTATGGTAGTACTTATCGTGTTACCAAGTTAGGGTAATGAAACGTCTGCAAGAAAACAAGCAAGCTCAGAGAGCACCAAGGACCCTCCATATTCTATAATATATTTGCACACCCCATAATATCTGAATTCTCATTCTCTATTAATTTTAGAAGGTCTATCTAGTTCTGGTCCATCTGAACTAGTTTATCAGTGAAATGGAGAATTGGTTTTCTTTGAAATATTGTTGAGTATATCCAATGCTTTTAAAAACCTAAGTTTTTAATTTAAAATATTTCTGAAAAGATGTCTTCAAATATCAGAATTATAAATATGCTAAGCCTAAAAATTGAATTGTAATTATTGTGATAGTTGTTTAAAAATATTTGCTCCCAAGAAACGATCTACTTCTTTGCATAATTAATAAAATTACATAGAATCATAAGGTCAGAAGGGCTTTTACAGGCTTTATAGTCCAACCTCCTGTTTAAACATGGTGACATCCATGTAATTTTTTTTGGCAACAGTACAGGTTTACCTTTATTTTCTTCTTCAACTTTCTAATAAGATTTTCTTGTTCAAGTATTACCAGGCCAGTCCTATTTAATTTTCTGAAATCATCTAGAGTTGGCTAGGTTCTGCCATCTGTTAAGGCCTTCAGCAAATATGTCAGGAGGAAAATAATAATTCATCACAAATAATGTAACACAAAGCACTGACATTGTATTGTCTCCACTTCTTTTTATGGAGATTATTCATGTGCTTAAGATAGTTTGAATAGAATAGAGGTGCACTATTTGTATTTGCTCATTCTAAAATAAGTGTTTTAGTGCCTGCTGCAAATTCTTTAAAATTAAGAAATTCTTACCTAAAACAGTTTAAACAGCAGCACAACAATAGTATATGTGAAACTTAAGCAAGTGGTTATATTTTTCTTGTTTTTATAATTTTACTAGGTTTATAATGCTAGGCTTATAATTTATGGATGGCTATGAGCAATTTATATCTCTACCATGGGTTAACAGGATTACAACAACTAAAAAAATAGAGCCAGATTAAAAACAAACATTAATATACATGAATTGAACACAGTAATAATAAAATATTTCTATGCCAAGGAGCCATAAAAACCCAGAAAGTTGTATGCACATATCCCCCTAAAAGTCCGGTTGACTTTGATTGCTTCCTAAAACTCAGGAATGTGAGAACAAGTTGATATTTTAATGTTTCCCTGTGTGTAATGATTTTCAGGAAGAGTTTCTGTATGAAACTATGGATACATTTTTCTTTGCTTTTCGAAAAATGGAGTTTAAGTAAGCTATTGGATTTAGTAAACGAGATTAGCAAATACTGAAAACTGGCAAGGATGACAATTGAAGATATCTGATGTACATATAGTTCTTAGAATGCATTCTCAGAATTAAATTTGTTTAACTGGGTTTTTTTCAATGTTTCAATCTGCACGGCCTGACTTAATGAACATTAAGTCTCTGGAGGTGGCTGCTAAATTGAAGGCAAATTCCCCCTCCCCCTCCTTGCTCTCTGCTCCATAACCATCCATCTTTTTGGTTATCATATTGATGCATTATCTTGTTGTGTTCCTTTGTCAATGTTTATTTTATTGTTCTATTATTTTACTTCTCTTTGCATTCCTTTCCTTTTCTTCCTTTTTATTATTAAGCTTCCTAGAGCAGCGGCCTCCAACCTTTTGGGCACCAGGGACCAGTTCTGTGAAGAAAGGCTTTTCTATGGACCGGAAGGGGGGTGGTGTTGCGTGCTGCCTTTATCCTGTGGATGGGACGTGGCTTGTTTGTGCAGCCCGTTTGTTGCCATGCTGTGGCACAGTGCCGGTCCACGGACCGGGGGTTGGAGAACCCTGTCCTAGAGTAACCCATGGTGAGATAGGTAGCAAATAAATTTAACAAATAAAATAAAATAAAAAATAATAAACTAACATTAAACTCTGTTGTGTCTCAACTGAAATGTTATTTACATAAGAGAGTTTATTTATTAACTATACTTTCCATTCCATTGATCGTGAATATGGATACTAAACTACTTCTTTCTCTTAGATGTCTCTTAGAGGTCCAACTCCACTAACAGTGGTACATCTTTCTGGAGATCATGTCCAGGGAGTCATTCATACAGCTCAGACTTCCTCTGTGATTCACTCACCACAAGGACAATCAGTACAGGTACATTGTTCATATCCATATGTAGCTATTTTCAGCTTTTACTAAAAGTTTGTATTTATACATTTCATATATATAAAAAAGGGTTCCCCTTGAGTCAAGCTTGAATTCTGGTGAATTTATGGACAAGTTTCATGTATATATATATTTTGCAGTAGTACAGAAATAAAACTTAAATAACAGAAGTCTATATAAGCAATTGATGGTTTATTGCATTATTTATAAAAGTGAACATTTATTTATTGGTTGGTTGATTTATAACAATATAAGCTCAAATGCTTTGTCCACCTAATGAGAAGAGGAGACAGCAGAGGATGAGACAGTTAGATAGATTCATTGATGCAATGAATATGAATTTGGGCAAACTCTGGGATATAGAGGAGGACAGGGGAGAGTCTGTCATGCTATGGTCCATAGAATCGTGAAGAGTTGGACACAACTTAGTGACTGATCAACAACAACACCTAATAAATTATCAGAGATGTATAATGGTGGGTCAAACATATGTTGGAAACATAATCACTCCGAAGGTACCTTTTATCACCTTTAAACATATAAGAAGGTTAAGAGTTATTGGAATAAATATGTACTTTAATCCACAAAATTTTTAAAACAAATGTACAATTGAAACCAGAGATTTTTCTTTTAGGTTTGATGGATAAGCATTGGGAGAAAAAAAACATGGGACATTGTTTTTATATATGATAACTGCCGCAAGACTTGCACAGAGATGGAAAGACTTACAAATTGCCCCAATGGAAGAATGGATAGTGAAGTTAATGGAACTGGCTGGCGAAATTAACCACCTTGGTTAAAGAAAAGTTTTTGTCTAACTTTGTTTCTGTGTGAAATCACTTTTGGACTTTTTTCTGGAAATTCAAAGAAATGCTATATTAATTTTGGGATCTGATGATTATAATTGTTTATTATATTATTATATTAATAATATTATATTATTGAATTTTATATCAAGAGGTTAATGTATTTTATATTTGTAATTGTATTGAGAAAAACTGAAAGTTATCCTCCTATTTTTTCTTCTTTTATTCTCTTGCAAATTCCTCTTTCCAATTTTTTGCCTTCTTAACTCCATAATATATATAAAATATTTTTAGAAAATTAATAAAATTATTTAAAAATTGAACTGAAACTGATTTACAAGTTGAATTAAAAATTACAGCTTACAAGAAGATGGAAAAAATGGATTTATAAGTAAAAGATAATGGTTCAATAATTGAAAAAGTACTAATAACAAACCAGATGAGTGATCTGGATTGTTTCCTTATATTGAATTTACAAGAAGATTTTACAGGAGTTGCTATATTGGAAGTACAAAGGGGACTTGATAAAAATGAAAACAAGAATTTTGAAATAAGGGGAGAGTATATGAAGGCAGGTGCTAGAACTTTCATTGAAGAATTTAAAGATTATTTGCAGAAAGAAAAAAATACAAAATTTATTTATTTGACCAAGATTAAAATAATGGGTTTGTTATTTGGGGGGATGCTTGATGGCTTCTTGACAATGGTTATTTCTGACAATGTTTTAATTGTTTTTTGAGTAGGACTGAATTTTGATTATTTGAAGAGAGGAAATGGGGATTTGTTTAAAGGGAAAAGGAAGGATTCAGATTGGGTGCAATAGATACAATTTGTAATATTTATGAAGTTATTTCTGATAATCCTTACTGGATGCTTGTCATTTAATAGGGAGAGATGAATTTTTAGAGATGAGTTTATAAAAACTGGGATGATATGTGGAATGAAGAGATCTTTGATTTTACTTTAAGAGATAGTGATAAGTTCTTAATATTGATTATACTTGCTGTGGATGAAAGGGGAGCTTTCTTTTTATTTTTTCCTTTTTATGCACTTTTTAATTTCTTTATTACATAGTTGTATACATTTTACTTGTTTATTATAATCTTTAATAAAATTATTGGGGAAAATAATTGTACCTTCTTTAAATGCTAATACTGTATTGCAATATAACTGTAATTTGTTTTAAATCTTTTTTGTTTGTTTGTTTGATCAACATGAGACAGCTCCAATCTTTTTCCTTTGGATCTACACATAAAGTGATTGGAATCCATAAATATTTTACAGTCCAATTTCTAGTTTAAAAAACAAATAACACTTTTTTTGAATACATTTATTTACCCTAATCATAGAATTTTTTTTTCTGTAAATTTTTGAAAGGCTGCTGTCATTTCTTAAATTTTAATGGTTATACCTGACATAGAAGAAATGGTACATCATTTTGTCTCATATAACATTCAACAAAATGACAGTTGATTTCTTTCAGGTGTCATTATCAGAGAATGAGGATTCACAAGATTCTTCGGATAGCATGGACTCTTCCCAAAAAGCAAGAGGTCTCTTAGCACGCCGTCCATCTTACAGGTCTCTCTTTTATACCAAAATATAATTTCTTCTCAGATCTGTACTAGAATTATTATGGAAAATAATATTTCCTGGCAAATTTGGATTCTTTGGACAAAAACATGGAAGAATACCAATTCTTTTGGCCTCATCTATCCTAGCCAAATGGCAACAAGAAATGGCCAGGGACATAGTTTTAAAATAATTTTTGGAATGGATAAATTCCCTTAGGAAATTACGAGCACATCAATTTCACTAACTGCAAAAGACTGATTAGATAGTGTCAATTTTTTTAAGAAGCCTCTCAATAGAAAGAACCAATAAGTTTCTTTAAATTAGTGTTTAAAATCAGCTCCTTTCACAGCTCCACAAAATCAATTATTTGCCAGATATTTAAGATATTTGCAAACATTTAAAAGAATTTAAGTTTTTAAAAACTCTTCTGATTATTATTTATATTTAAATGACTCCACCAGTGTCACTTATTTTTGACAGTTGCTTCCCTATTAAGTTTTCTTAACGATTTGATTTTTAAAAATCTTGGCCAACGTTCTGTAGGCATTTTTATTTTTTGCAACTTTGCAGCCCTAAATGTAATAAAAGTTCTGTGTTGTGGTTCTTTCCAGATGCTTGCAGAGGAGTAACTGCTGGCGACAAAAGAAATAAAAAGTTATTAAAAGACTTCTAGTGTTTCTTAACTGCATGCATATTAGTATTATAAAATAGCATAAGAATGTCAAACCTAACAACCATCAAACTAACTAAATCACCATTGTAATAGTAGTTCTTAAATTATACAGCCTTAGTGGCATTAACAACACTTTTTGTTCCCTGCTTCTAGAAAGGCTGAGAAAGGTTTGAAAAAAGCAGCCCAGCCACAGGATGTAAGAATAGCCCAGCTGCAGTGTTTGGAATAGTCAATAAAACTCTATGCAGTGTTTTTCTTTCATGGTTTCAGCAAAACTTTCAAAACACATTGTTTTGTTTCATGTTCAGAACTTTCAACTATTTTGAGGTTAGAACATTTCAAGGTGACAGTCTTTGTACAAGTCTAGATTGTAGTACTTCCTGATAAAAAAGTCCCTGATAGAAGATGAATTCTTTTGCACAATAATCTTTGTTCTACAGTAGGAAAATGCAATAGGTGCCATTCTGAGTATTGAACATTGCAAATTTCTCTAGAACTTTTCCTGAATAGTAAGCTTAAGTATAGTGCATTATGGAGTTAGATTTTATTTCCGTCCTTCAGCATTTACATTGAAGCCTCTGAGAAACTCATATCAAAACACTGACTTAGATATTCCAAAAAGGAAAAAAAACGAGACTGCTATTCTTCATGTTCCATTTTGTAAATCTTGTTTTGAGTATGTGTTTGTGATTGAAAGCAAATAAGCAGATAATGTAGAAGAGAGAAGGGATTTTCTTCTGGATCTCTTCCCACTGCTGGAACTTTGTCTCTAGCTGGCCATATTACTACAGGGATTGAGAATGATCTTCATCAGTGTTATCTTATGTGATCGTTGTGGCCTTTCTTGGGGGGGGGGAAACCCAGAACCATCTTAGTCATTTACCATGTCATCGCCTCCCACTTATATTATAGTAATATGCTATGTACGGTGCTGTCCTTGCAGACTGTTCAAGGTTTGGTTGGTTGAAAATATAAAAAACCATGTTTAGAACCAAACATTCATTCATTCCAAATGTTTGTTTCATTCTGTGAAGACCTAAATCATGTGAGGGAAATATTTTAATGTCTGAGAGCCACATAGCTGATGTTCTGGCTAATTGGTGGCATGATGGCACAGTGATTAGAATGCAGTATTGCAGGCTGATTCTGCTGACTGCCAGGAGTTGAGTCCTAACTGGTTCAAGGTCGACAGCCTTCCATCCTTCCAAGGGCAGTAAAATGAGGATCCATATTGATGGGGGCAATATGCTGATTCTGTAAACTACTTAAGAGAAGGCTGTAAAGCACTGTGAAGCGGTATATAAGTCTTATTGCTGGTGCTACTGGTTAAGGATCCTGTATTTTCTGGAGCCAACAGCTACAGTTTGCCTATTTGTTTTGTATCTAAAACATGAATTTCAGGGAGTCAGTGTAATATAGTAAATTGTTAGATGTGTGTCAAGAAAACCCAACTTCTGTGTCCACTGGGTGAGTTTTGTCAGGCCCTTCTCTCTCTGAGCTTTACCTGGCTCAGGACTATTGTGATGATAAACTTAGAGAAGCCATGCCCTCCCTCATGGTTGCTCTTTAAGTTCTCTGGAAAAGATGAGGGGTATGCAACAACAGCACTATACAGCCGTATCTCACAACTACCAAGTTTGCCTGTGAGCTTGTGCAAGAACTTCAGTCTGCTTCTGAGGCTATTTAGACTTTTCCAGCTATCTGTTAGGATATTTTCATGGAATCTAGGTTTTAATACTGCTTCCCAAGCAAATGCTGTCTTTTATAGAATATCCACCTTCAATCTTTTTATTACATTTATTGCACCTTTCTATAACATATTCAAGGCAAAAGAATTCAAAAATATGCATCTCTAGCAATCATTTTAATGAAAAGTTTTTAGTCTTATAAGGCCACAAAATATTGGGCTCTGCTTCTCTTGAATGTGAAAAAAGAAACTGCCTAAAATTGTACATATCGTAATAATTAATATAATAATAATGTAGCTATTTATTCAGCATGGTTTTTGTTTCTTCCAGCATTATATACATTGTGTTGCTTTTTTATAGAAAAATCTTGAACGATCTTTCTTCTGAAGACACAAGGGATAGGAAAGATGAGTCGAATGCTATTGTCACTTCAGTGCCTGTCACTACACCTGTTTATCAGACCAGCACTGGTCAATATAGTATGTATTAATTAATAAACTTCTACACTGGATAAGTTGCCAGCACCCATGATTCTAATTTAGAATTACAATCCCTTCCAAAATTATTTATTATCAGAAAAACAAAGCAATACCGTATTTTCCGGCGTATAAGACGACTTTTTAACACATGAAAATCTTCTCAAAAGTCGGGGGTCGTCTTATACGCCGGGTGTAGTTCTCCTGTAACCAGGCAGACCAGCCCGAAAGGCTCTGACGAGCCTTAAATGGCTCTGGCGATCCCAGCTCTGACGATCCCAGCTGAGTTCCCTGCAACTCAGCTGGGATCGCCAGAAACCACGTAAAAGGAAAAAAGTTTTTTACCTTTTACTCTGAGGATCCCAGCTCTGAGGATCCCAGCTGAGTTCCCTGCAACTCAGCTGGGATCGCCAGAAACCACGTAAAGGAAAAAAGTTTTTTACCTTTTACTCTGAGGATCCCAGCTCTGACGATCCCAGCTGAGTTCCCTGCAACTCAGCTGGGATGGCCAGAGCCATGTAAAAGGGAAAAAGTTTTCCCCCTCCAGCTTGCTTACCTCAGCTGCTAGTCGCAACGCTTGCCTTGCTTTGCTTGCCTGAATCTATTCAGGCAAGCAAGCAAGGAGTTAGTTGTGGACTTCAACTCCCAGAATTCCTCAGCCAGCAAAGCAAAGCTGGCTGAGGAATTCTGGGAGTTGAAGTCTACAAGTCTTAAAGTTGCCAAGATTGGAGACCCCTGTTCTATTGGGTAAGTTTTTTTCCCCTTTGGGAGCTTTAAAAAAAAATAGTCAATTGGGGTTTTTTTAGTTGTTCTTTTTTAGACCTAGCCATTTAAAGTTTAGGAAGTTTTAAATTTAGCTTTCATATAAAAATAAAAATAAAATAAAATAAAACAATATTTGTGCAGCTTTCTGAGATTTAGTGTGTTTCTGTAGTGTTTCACTCCAACTACACAAACACACAAAATCTCACAAAGCTGTATGTGGAATTTTGTGTGTGTAAAGTGTGAAAGTTGGTTTTTGGACTTTTTGTGGCTGTGTGAGGTTCCTGCTTGTTGCAGGGGCCATTTTGGGTCTAGCACAGCTGCTTTTACATTGTGGGTGAGCCAGTTGTGTTGTGTTGTGTGTGTTTAGAGTGTGAAAGTTTTTTGGGGGGGCTTTTTGTGGCTGTGTGAGGTTCCTGCTTGTTACAGGGGCCATTTTGGGTCTAGCACAGCTGCTTTTACATTGTAGGTGAGCCAGTTGATGTTTTTTAATTTTTATTTGGTGTGCATTGGAAGAGGGGCAGTCTTATATGGCGAGTATAGCCCAAACCCTATATTTTAACAGGAAAAGTTGGGGTCGTTTTATACTCCCAGTCGTCTTATATGCCGGAAAATACGGTAATTTTGGAAATGTTTTTAATTCAATCATTATTTATTATGAGTTAAAAATCGTAATTTTTTTCATACTAAATATTTATTCATTCAAAGCATATAATCCAACAAGCCAGCTTTGAGAAAATGTTTTTAAATGTACTTGTCAGTCGAAGATTACTTTATTACCTATTTTTAGGCAAGAGACTAAATTTAATGGAATATTCCTGTGGGACTGCCCAAAAGAAAAGAAATTTTGCTTATAATTGATTATTCTTATGCTATGCACTATTCAGCATCTTCCCTCTTCCGTTCTGTCTGGTTTTGAAGTTGCCATTGCCCCAAATGGACCGTTACAGCTGAGCAGTCCAGGTGCTGAGAGTGTGCAGGGCTTACAGACCTTCACAAATGCTACTGGGACTCCGCTATTGCAGTATGTGCAGACATCTGATGGCCAGCAGATACTGGTACCAAGTAATCAGGTAGTGGTGCAAAGTAAGTATCCACTTTAAATAATTCAAACCATTAATCTCTGAAAGCCGGCTGGGTGACCTTGGACCAATCACTCACTCACTCTCTCTCTCTCTCAGTCTAACCTACCTCACAGGGTGGTTGTGGGAGAAATAGGAGGAGGATGGGTAGGACATAAATAAATAAATATTACTACCAGTTCATTAAACGTCCATTTATGGCAAGGTTGGGCAATTTCCAGTACACTTAAAGCTTTGGTACAACTCCCAAATCCCTTCCTTAACTTATTAGCAGAAATTGATCATAATATTTAGCTTTGGTAACTAAAATGTATTCCTACAATGAAAGAAGGGCAACCTGTAGTAGATTCTATTCTCCCAGTTGCTTTGTGAAAAGGACTTAGAATTGTTATTTTGCCACTTGTCTAAGAGAATTTAGCTCTTTTCCCAATTTTGGCTTTCCTTTGTTCCAATTGTGCCAGCCATCCTTCTGACCAGGACTATACAGGTTAGCTGTTTTCTTTCCTTTGTCTTTTTTTGGTCACCTGGATGTAGGGTTGGCAGGAAAGGGTTAAATCCTCACTCTGATGAAGGAAAAGCCTCCCTTTAACCCTAACCTTGTCTTCTGAAGACAAGGTAGATATTTTTTTTTCCTTTTGGCTTCAAATAAGCTGGGAAGAAAAGCAGCAACAGCAATAATAGAAGAGAATGTCACAGAGGTTAAATGAAATGGGCTTCATGTTGATAAGCACGGTAATCGTGTGCTGGGACTTCCAAGGCTTTCTCCTGCCAAAGAGAGCACCAGGGAAGGCAGCTCAGCCCAATGAATAGGCCAGAAGCAGAAAGGAAATCATGGGGACGATCCATCCAACGTCCAACTGCTGGTTGTTGGAAACACCAGATAGCCTTGGTATTGTAGTTGTATCTAGAGGACGACCTCCTCTACAAATTCCTGGTAACTGCCAGGACCACTGCTGATGAATACAAACCATTCAGGCGGCCTTTCCACCAGTGCTGATTAACAGGTGAAATAGAGGTACCAGATGAATTCAGAAGCAGAGAGCTTCCCTCTCTATGCCCTCCTGCAAAGAGATATTTATTAAGGGTAAATACATGCATCTCCTGCTTCCCATTTCCGATACGGCAAAGAAAGAACATAAGATTACCATATTGGGGCCACTTGGAGCTCTTATGTGATGGACCATGTCAGTCAGCAGAGGACGTTGGGGATGAAAAATGTTGGGGATGGAGCTGGTCTAACTAGGTCCAGTATGATGGCATTCCCTCTGAAACTGACAGATGTCCCATGTGGCCTTTCCCCTTCTTTCCCCATAGAATGAAGGTGGTAATATATCACCTAGTTGACATTGGCATAAAAGAATGGAGGATCTATTCTCCCTATTTCTGTTCAAGTGAGTAAAAACTGGAGCTTGGCATGTCATCCTGGACCTCAGACCACTAAACAATTCTATTAGCCATTGAATCTGCAGAATGGAAATTACTGAGGTGCATGACAGAAATCATTATCTAAAAATCTTTTAAACTGTGATAAACATGCCAGAAGCTTACCTGCTCGTTTTCATCAAGAGTTTTCTTGGATTTTCATAAGTGAAGCAACAATCCCAGTTCAGAGCACTACTCTGTGAACTGACTTCAAGTTCAGATCTGGAACATCACCTTTACATGAAAAGTCTTCCCATTTGGTTACCATCATTTCCAGGTTAAAAAGAAGCAAGGGATGAGAAAGCTTTTGAAGAATCTCACCCACTCTCCCAATAATTTCTATGTACTTGTAACTCCTTTCTTTATTATCTTACAAAATGGACTGGTATTATACAGTGTTCACCAAAATAACATCTGAGGCTTCTGTAGGTTGGAATCCATGCCAATCATGTGCAAAAGTGTTTATAGCAAACAGAGAAAAATCTTCAGGAGAATGTTTAGTGGTGAATGTAAAGAGTTCATTCAAACTTCAAATACTTTCTTGAGAGATCTTTGTAGGTTTGTCACCTGGCCTTCTGAGTTCATATTTATTCATTACTGCAAACTTAATTTATATTAGCTGCGGTGCCTCAGTGATTAGAGTGCAGTACTGCAGGCTACTTCTGCTGACTGCCTGCAATTTGGCAAATCGAATCTCACCAGGCCCAAGGTTGACTCAGCCTTCCATCCTTCCAAGGTGGGTAAAGTGAGGACCCAGATTGTTGGGGAGAAATATGCTGACTCTGTAAACCACTTAGAGAGGGTTGTAAAGCACTGTGAAGCAGTATATAAATCTAAATGCTATTGCAATATGACTCTTCACAAATTTCCTCTAAGAAGAGGATCTACTGAAAAGAGTTTCTGGCAAAACTCAGGACCCTTCTCCTGAAAACTTCAATCCCAGAAATGTCGCTAGTATGTCTCACTGTAGAAGTTAGTGTATTAGACTTACAATGAAGGTCCGCTTCCTGTAGCAGGGACAGGCCATCTAGCCTATCCAGGCAGTTACAAGAAAGAATGGGGAGAAGATCTCTTCTTTATTCCTACCTTACTTTTTTCAAAATTTCTCCTCCCACAGGAGGAGAAATCTTTCTGCTAAAAAGCAGAAAGCTGCTTTTAATTCTTCCCCTAGAATGGGTGGTGCAGTAAAATCTGTTATTGTAGAAAATGGGTATTTGCTATTAAGATAAGCGTATTATTTTCTGCCATTTAGGCAGTCTTAACTAGTGGGGAACAGTCTCTAATGCCTGAACCATTAAACAATTAATCCTAACCAATTATATAATCATACTTTTTGATTAATTCCACAAGTTTTGCAATTTTCCACTTTCTCTTCCCACGTACAGAGTCCATCCTTGTCAGCATTTGCCTTTATTCTCAAAAACCACCACTAAATACGGTATATTTATTTCTTGCCCAACCCTAAACCTAGTGGAATCATTAGTTTTATTTGGAGGGTGGAAGTAGCAGTATTTCAGTGTTTAAGAATCACTGCTTTATTGTGTGCTCTACTCTGATTCCTTAACAGCTGCATCTGGAGATATGCAGGCCTACCAATTACGCAGGACACCCACCACCACTTCCCTTCCACAAACAGTTGTGATGACAACGCCTGTGTCCTTGACATCTCAGTCAACCAAAACAGATGATCCCCAACTGAAACGAGAAATAAGGCTGATGAAAAATAGGTATTTACTTTCCACTTATGTTCTGAAAAGAGATCTTATGCACAGAGATTACCATTAGGCTTCAGCCTTTTATCTTGCCTAAGGAATATTATTCCCTTCTAACTAAATGCTTGTTTATATTGCCTGCTTTTCCCCCCCAATTTCACTTTATTTTGGAGTGGGAAATACCTTCATTTAAAAATGCCTTATTTCAAGAAATGAGAAAAGAATTTTGTTTTTAATAAATAAGTAAGAAAACAAGATTCTTGAAAAATAAATTTAAAGCATCCCCCTAGGAGCCTTAGCTTTTTCACTTGTTCTTCATAATGAAAAATTATTGTGAAACATTCCATCATATATACCGTATACTGATGGATCATTTGAACTTCTACTCTGTGCTTTTTAATGTGTCAAATTTCTGAAGTAAAATCCTAAATAGGCTTCAGACTATCCTTTTTTAAAAAAAAAAAAATATTTTCAGACTATCCTTATGTGGGTTTGAGGCTATATTCAGTGAACATAGTTATTTTGTTCCTTAGTATTAGAGCATATTTATACATAGTTGCAGTACCTTGCTTTTTCTTGGACTAATTTAACTGTAGACAGTCTTGACAATTTATTTTATTTAGTATAAAATATTGAAAAAATGCTCAGCATTTATTTCAAAATTTAGTTAAAAGAATTAAATCAGATTTTTATTATAGCCATATCAGCATAAGGAGGGAAGGGTACTGTCAATTAAAAACACAAAAAAACCATCAAAGGCTAAAAAATAATAAAAAGCTAAAAGGTATAGAATAAAAGTATATACATAAAACAAAAAGGAATCTAAAAGGAGGAATAGGAGCATAAAATGGATTTAGGGGAGCATAAAGGTTAGTACACGGCAGACTATGTCTTATCACAATATAGAGCACTCTAGAATGACTAAACTATACTTACCTGGCAAGGGAAATATCCTGGACATCATTTAAAGAAAAAAAAAGTTAATGGCCACCATCTTCTCTAAGCAAAAATGGGATGTTTGTAAAATATTTTGAGTTTTGTATCGTAATTAACATATTTTTGCTTTTGGATTTCAGAGAAGCTGCTCGAGAATGCCGTAGAAAGAAAAAAGAATATGTTAAATGCCTTGAAAATCGAGTTGCAGTCCTTGAAAACCAGAACAAAACTTTAATTGAAGAACTAAAAACTTTAAAAGATCTTTATTGCCATAAAAGCGTGTAAGAAAAGAAGGTAGAAGCTTTTTCACGAATATCAGGGGGATTTGATTTTTAAAAAATTAAAATGAAAGGTCAAAAATCTCTTCAAATTCTACAACTTAAAGACTCTTAAAATATTATTTGAAATTGTTGCATGGCAGAGTACCAAAAGAAAGCATGAAATGGTGTGAAGAAGCATTCCTCTGGCACAACTGGAATCTTGATTAAATCAGGCTATATGGATACGTACCTTCTGTCAATCAAGCGATTGAATTTCATGAGCTGTAGTTTAATTTTAAATGCTTGTTAACTTTTGATTGCAGTTAAATTGCAGAGAAACTAAGACTGCCATCAGCTGTAAAGGTCTATTAACATGTTTAATCAGGGTATATTCATGTTTATTCTTTAACCCATCATACTAGATCTGTGCATGTAAATTGACAAGCAATGAACTGCACATCTGCAATGAGCATTCATATGTTTTGGTTTATGCAGAGTCCGTAAGCTTCAAATCCATGCATTCAGAGTTCTCAGTTGTGTGGTTTCTATTTGCTTTTGTCATATTAGTGCACAAGGCCACCTCTGTATTTTTTGTATACCTGGAACAGTCCTCAGATAAGAAGGCTTTTCAGTTTTGTATACATATTTTTTCCTTCAGATTGGAAATTCTAAGATGCACTATAATTTCTTGAGACCATGCATATGATTTCAAAGGCAGACAATTTAATTTTTTAATGTGCTGTTTATCAGTATTGATAAAAGCAATGGATTCCTTGTGTTTGGAGGCACCTGAAGACATGAAATATATACCAATCATCGTTATTCCAATTTTTTTTGATGCTTTATACAACTGAACAAATGCTACTGGAGAATACCTTGACTTTTTGCCTATGCATTTAGTCACAGGTAAGAAACGTGTCTGAAAGATGAATTCAAGTGAATGTGCATCATGTATGCTATTTGAAGATGCCGTTCCTGGCATACAACGAGCAAATGCCAAGGTCCTTAGCTCTGCCCATTTTATACCACAAAGAAACCAAAATTACAAACCAAAGATAATGCACACAGAGAGACATTGAAGTACATAATTTCAAGACTATATTCGTAAATCTAGTAGTAATTTGTTAAAATAAATCTGATTTTTATAAAGAAGTAATCCTGCTGGAATTGGTCTCAGATATATTTTTATAGTTAAAATATTTACCTTTTATATGGGTATTTTAGATACATACAATTTCAGAAAGCAGATATTTTTCTCTCAGATTGTCAACTTTATATTTGTAGAAATTTTTGAGAAAATAAAGCCTATTTCTGTGTACTTTCATCTGGTAGGGATTAACAAAAATATTCTTGAATATTCTAGGGGGAAAGGTTCCTATTGTTCATAGAAAAATGCATGGATCGTTTCAATATGAAGATGCTGTCAGGGATAATTATGTTACTTTGCTTTCTTATTTTCAAGAACTGTTAAAGACTTATTTTGAATACCTAGTGAATGTTAAGCCAACAGTTGTTGCCACAATACTTAATCATTCCAATGATACCCTTTAAAATTATGCCATTTCAATCCGTATTTTAGGCCAAGAAGATGCTATTAGACTGCTGCATATGTTACTGCTGCATCTGGGCAATTTTGAGATTATCATGATACATCATTCCATAGAAAATGCCATGAAATCATTCCTTCTGATACCAGCAGCCCCATGCCTTAGAGAACAGAACAGCAGAATATTTCTACACAGCCATGAAATTGTGCAGGAAATTGTTAATAAACTTTAAAACAAAAATGATGGTGCCTTTCTCTCCCAAAACTGTTAGCTTCCAAGAGCTAAACAAGAAAAGAAGCTGCATGGATTTCTGCAGTTTTGGGGTAAAAAAATGTGTAACCTGTACAATAGGCTTGACACATCTGATGTAACCTCCCCCAGCAAAGGAACAATAACTGGAAATGGGAGGCTCTTAAAAAAAAGATGCTATCTCTGAAAATAAGCCATATGCTTCTCTTGGTTCTGTTCTCTTTTAAAGACTGAAAGGGCAGTACTTACCACTTTTTATTACCTAAGTTGGCTATAGGCAATTTAATACCTACCAGGACTGCAGTTCACATTATTCTAACCTGATATGATGGACAAAAAGGATTGTGAGAAGTTGTGATCCATAAATCTGGAGGACATCATATTGCCCATCTCTGTAGTTAAAATATTCTGAAAAGAGAAATTGGATTCTGGGAATGGGTATCTTTGGAAGGTCCTCTTTAGGGCTCCATTTTCTGCAGGCACAAGCGGAGCTAAGTAAATCTCAGCAGCCAGTGCTATGTGGTGAAGTAGCATAGAGGGCTGATGTTCAGGGTGAAATGTAGCCGAAGCTATTAGTTTTGCACCAGAGCTCCATAGTTATGCACTATGGAGAGAAGGGTATATATATATATATGTGCACGTGAACTTTTCCAATTATTTATCCTCACCTGAATGTTGAACTCTTTTTAAAAAATGCCTATGATATATATCTATAAAAACTTTTAATAAATAAAGCTTATCAAAAAATGCCTCGTGTTTGTGTCTTTAAAAATAATCTCTAAGTATGGTATGCGTGCAAGCACACACACACACACACACACACAGTGTCAAGACTGCAAAAACCCATCATCCCAACCAGCACACGCAAATCTGGTTTGCCATATTGTTCACATGAATAAAATGGCAAACAGCTGCTGTTCATAAAACAGAGCACCTGTGTTGCTAGTCTCTGCTATGGATCGCAATCACCAAGACTAAAGTATAGTATACAGCTGGACTCCCTTCTGTGCTTTTGTTAATTTTATTATGTTCAATTGAAGTTTTCAGATTTAACACCATCTGACATTTAACACTAAGATATAGCATCTGATACCTATATTACCTTTTGCTAATCTTAGCTCAGTATTGCTGTATGTAGGTCTCAATATAATAGCAAAAAATACTTTGGTATTCAGAAACTATTAAAATAATTATTTAATGTTATTATTTCAGAACAAGAAGTGGCTTTTTAAAAACCGTCTTTATACAGCCTGTTGATGAATGATAACTATTTTGCAAAACTAAACATGATTTGCATTGCAACAGTATTCTTCATCACTGTAATTTCATGCACTGTTTAACAAGACTACCAATGGCAAGTATCAGCAAAATTCAATAATGTCCAGTGGATTAGCAATTTGATGAAAGATACTTTCTTAATCTTAATTTTTAAATAATTTGGTTGAACACTTTCCTCTCGAGAATAAAAATAATCAAAAACAATGTTTTCCAATTTGTTCAGGCTGTCAGAAGAGCTAATGCTTTTTTTCCTGCATGAAATTAAATAGCCTCCATTGTTAAATGGCCTTAAAAATAATGTCAGTTCTAGTTAGTACATAGATGGGGGACCATCAGGAATGACCAGAGTTGTTAGGACGCTGAAAAAAATATCCTAGAAAGTAGCAATGGACAATCACTTCCACTTTGCTGTGAAGAAAACTCCCATGTTCTCACCAGGAATTGAGCCAGGCGTATGGGCATGGTTCTATTTTTTTTAACTAGCTAGAGAATAGCAGTAGCAATAGCACTTAGACATATATCGCTTCACAGTGCTGCACAGCCCTCTCTAAGCGTTGTGCAGAGTCAGCATATTGCCAACAATCTGGGTCCTCATTTTACCAACCTCAGAAGGATGGAAGGCTGAGTCAACCTTGAGCCGGTGAGACTCGAACTGCCAAACTGCTGGCAATTGGCAGTCAGCAGAAGTAGCCTGCAGTACTGCATTCTAACCACTGCGCCATCATGGCTCTTGCATATCAAGACAGTCTGATGAGAAATTGATGGCTTTTACAGAGGGCACTGGATGAAGCAGTTTAGCGACTTTTTTTCAGTCTGGATCCATGCCAGGGCACAGCACTGAAACAACATTGGCCACATCTGAGAACCTTTGGAGGCCTCAGGACGGCTTTCAGTACCATTGACCATGGTACCCTTGTGGACTAGCTTGGGGGTTGGGAGTGGGAAGCACTATGTTATAGTGGTTCTCCTTCCTCCATGACTGGTTCCAGTCGGTGGTGTTAGGAGAGGAAAGGTCAAGCGTTAGGGCGCTGCAATGGGAAGGTGCCTTGGGCTCAAGCCTCTCACCAATCCTTTTTTAACACCCACATGCAATCACTAGGACAGGACATCTGTCATTACGGGGTTTGGTATCATCAGTATACCCAATTATGTATCTCCACCCCTAGCCACACAAGTGGTGTGGTGGTGGTGCTGGTCAAGTGCCCAGAGGCTGTTATGAGTCTGGATGCTGAGGAACTGGCTTCAACTTAACCCTGCAAGATGGAATGGCACTCCAGGATCAGATATTTCATCATTGACTCTGGACAGGGTGGCACTTTCCTGGATTGAGCTGGTGCGCATTTAATGCTCAACCCCGGAGGTCCTCCTGGGCTCATGGCTCCTACTAGAGCAGATGGCAACTGTGCCTAGGGAGACCTTTGAACAGGTTTGGTGTGCCAGATGGGCCCATTCCTGGACTATGGTCACTCATGCCTTGGTCATCTCCTATCTGGATTACCGCAATGTTTTCTACATGGGACTGCCATTGAACGCAGTTTACACAGAAAGCTCAACAGGTCCAGAATGCAGTAACAAGTACAGTAATGAGGGGCCCCTAGATTTGTCCATGTAACACCTGCACTGGCAGTTTGCTTCCACTACAATTCAAGGTGCTCATCATCAGCTTTAAATGGCACGGGGCCAGGCTACCTGCAGATTGTTTCTCCCTAAGCACACCCATCTATCCTAGCAGGTCAGATAGGGTAAGCTTTAAAGACCTGGCTTTTCCCACAAGCGCTGGGAATTTAGATGATGGCATTTTAGCATTCATTAGTGCCAGGTTTTTGTTGTTTTTAATGTTTTATGTTTTAACTTTTTGAGTATTTAGATTTTAAAATGATTTTATCTCTTTTAATTTTTAAAATTTTTGATTGGGAACTACCCAGAGCTGGGTAGCTCGATAATATTTTTAAACAAATATTTCCAGCATGAGAAAGACTGATTTCCAACAAATCTTTATTTTCAAGAATATAGAGACCAATGTCATGTCATAATGTAACCTGGCCTGAACCCTGGGGAAAAGGATCCAGGGAGGGCCTAATACACTCACAACAATTATTCCTAAAAACAGAAATTTGGAGAGCGAATGAAACTTTATGGGGTCCAAGCAGGGCCGGATTTAGATGAAAAGAGGCCCTAGGCTATTCCACTTATGAGGCCCTTTCACCTATAGTGAAAGTGTAATTTTAATTTTGCTAACAATTTGAATGTAGGCCCCTCTTGATCTTGAGGCCCTAGGCTGAAGCCTAGTTAGCCTATAGGAAAAGCCCGGCCCTGGGTCCAAGGATGTCCGTTTGAGAAGGGGCCTACTCCTGCCCTTTTCAAGACAGGCAAGACCACCCCTCCTGCAATGAATCACTAACCACAGCTTGGGCCCAACTATATGCCACTACAGTACCTAGGAGGGCTTGGTCAAACAGGAGACATAGGTCCCGAACACTCAGCAGCAAGGACTCTGCCCATTTCCTCAGGATCAAGCACTTCAAATCTTCCCAGATAACTGAGCTTGTTCCAAGTTTTGACTAGGACCTCAGTGGAATGATGTACCAGAGCTTCATACTCAAGTTACTCAAAATACTCAAGTTCCCTCTGAAACCTCATTGGTTCATCAATGACCTGGGGTTAACTCGTTGAATAGGCCCCAGCTTCCTGCAATGGAAGGCAGTGATACAGAACGTCAGGGATAAAAGGGGAATGATCTAACCATAGAAAGTGATTGGTATTAGTCCCTCCCTTTAGATTATCTCACAACCACCCTAATCTTACATGAGAACTCCTCTGAGAGTTGAGCCCCGAATAAGTTGGACCAGGTCTGTAACTGCTACAGTGCCAGTAGTGGGTTGCTCACGGTTCTCTCTGGTTCTTGCAAACCGGTAGTAAAAGGGGCGGGAGGCATCATATTTGGTGATCTGCGCATGCGCAGAAGCGCGCACTCCCATTGCAAACCGGTAGACAAGGTAAGTAGAACCCACCCCTGTACAGTGCCCATGGGTCACCTCTGAGTCTGGGCCAATGCCCCCCCCCAACCCAAGCCTGGAGAACTCTACCAGCAATCTGGCCATGGGATTAAGGTACTCAGACAGGGAGGAAGATAAACAGGAAGTTTTTTTTTTGTTTTTTTTTAAATCTATCTCTGGATAGATTAAAAATATGTGTTTAGTTTACCATAAGGGAAGCAGCAAGGGTAATAATTCTTAAGATCAAATGTTATAATATTAAGTCAGTACTAGGAAAAAAAACACCTTAAAAAGTAATTTCTCTCCAAACTACAGTTGTCAGTGACGAAGTAACAGGTCTAAAGTTCAGACACAATAAATTGCAGTGAATGGGCAATGTTTTTATTACATCTGTTAGCAGTTAAAAGTAATAAATATTGCAACACATGGAAACAAGTTGGAAAGCTGATATCCCAACCCAATGGGAGATTTTTTTTTTTCATAAAACATTGCAGAAAATTATCCATCCTGCAGTCAAAAAGACAAGATAAGGAGCCTTCATAGTCATGGCTTTGTCGAATAAAATAACTTGAGACTGTATCCACTTTCTGTAAAAACCTGTTTGCAGATAGACTCCTGGCAACCTTGGCCGGCCACAACCGTAACCAAAACTGCTGATCCCTACCAGATAGTACCTGGTGAGATCTGGCATATAGCACGCAAGAGGACCACCACTGTCTCCCTGGAACATAAGACACCAAGAAAAAAATATCAGTGGAGGGAACTCTCAGATATTAGTGGGAAACATATTATTAATCTAACACATTTACTTAACCCACGAAACATGCTTTGCTTAACGAGATTTTAAAATCATAACTGGCTGATATAGCACAATCCACTAATGTATAAATATTAGCTGGATATGTATGTTAAGCTGAGCCAAGTATTAGGGTTCATTGTATGTTCTCAGCAAAGAAGTTGTGAGCTATACCTTCCATGATTTGACCAAAAAAAAAAAAAAAGCTTTTCTGTAAGATACCCCCTCCTAGAAATGGGATTTTCTTGCCTTGGTTATACTGCAAAATGTACAAGTCCTGTCAGTCTCTCAACATCTGACATGACAACTCCACTGCAGGCCTCCTGGTACTTTTCTGAAAGTCCAGTCTTCCAATGGTAGCTGCCAAGAAGGCATGAGCTAAACAGCTATTAAGAGAGGCAGCCTTGAACGAACCTTCTTAGCTTCAAACCTGGCAGGAAGTTTAAATATGCTGAAAATTAAGCTCGTTTTACAGGGCTTACTTTAAGGCATGTTTGATCACCCATCAGCCCAAGTATTACAGCTGGTGGGGTGCAGGAGAAGGGCCTTCTCTAACATTGCCCCTGCTCTCTAGAACATATCTCCCCCCACCCCCAGAGTAAGGTCAGCTCCAACCCGCCTGACCTTCCCTGAGAGTCTAAAACCAGGTTCTGCCAGTTAGCTTAAGGCTCCAACGAGGGAGCATCACAGTGGAGGTGGGCCACAGTTTAACAACAAATCCCACCTCCCCACCCCATTCTGCTCCCATGCCCTCCCCATCTTTAATTGGACTGTAGCATTTGGCTTGTATTAACTTATTTATGTTTTTTGTATATATAATTTTTATCTGTGGTGGAGCAGTGATTAGAGTGCAGTACTGCAGGCTACTTCTGCTGACTGCCGGTTGCCTGCAATTTGGCAGTTTAAATCTCACCAGGCTTAAGGTTCACTCAGGCTTAAGGTTGACTTCCATCCTTCCGAGGTCGGTAAAATGAGGACCCAGATTGTTGGGGGCAACAGGCTGTAAACACTATAAACTGCTTAGAGAGGGCTGCAAAGCGCTGTGAAGTGGTATATAAGTCTAAGTGCTGTTGCGAAGTGCTATCTGTTATGATTGTAAACAACCCAGAGTTACCATGTGGTAAGATGGGCAGCCAATACATTTTATAAACAAAAAAGTAAATAATGAAATTCTCTTTTACCTGACAACCATCAATTCCTCCTTTTTCAGAGCCAGCACAAAGCATGTTGTCTCTCACCATCCCTGCATACCAGTCGTGTTTATTACAAGTTGATATTGGAATAATATCGACCTGTGCTTCTTGTAATACATCTCTCTCTCTCTCTAGGATGAAAATTCAGAACAAAACTGTAAGTACTCCTATGTCTGTTTCAGGCAAAAATGGAAAAATGTTGGTGTAGATTATTCTTGGTGCTTCATAAGAATCTTAAACCTAACAACACGAATGCACCTTGCTTCCAATTGGTTACCCAGTCACTTGCTCAAAGAAAAAATTTAGAGGTTTTTTCAGCATTTGGATATGAAATGAAGTTTATTTGGCACTTAACACAGCCAGTAGGTAAATAGAGAGGTTACAATGCAATGCTATCTTTTTGCCAGAGTTCCTTCTCATTTTTTCCAATGGGCAAACATTGAATTGTTTAGGCCAAGGGTGTCCAACTTTGGCAAATTTAAGACTTGTGGATATCAACTCCCAGAATTCCTCAGCCAACGTCTTAAAGTTCCCAAGTTTGGACACTCCTGGTTTAGGCCAGGGGTGGGTTCTAAAATTTTTTACTACCGGGTCTGTAGGCGTGGCTTATTTTGTGGGCGTGGGTTGGTGGCGGTAATGTGACTGGGTGCGTATAGCCAACTTTTTTTTTTTTTTACTTTTAAAAGCATTTTTTCTACAAACTTAAGAGGTTGTAGAAAAAAATGCTTTTAGAAGCCTCTGACGATCAGGGAACTCAGCTGGGATCACCAGAGGCTTTTAAAGGCATTTTTTTCCTACAACCTCTTCAGCCGAAGAGGTTGTAGAAAAAATACTTTTAGAAGCCTCTGATGATCCCAGCTGAATGGTGGGATCATCAGAGGCTTTTTTTTTTACTTTTAAAAGCATTTTTTCGGCTGAAGAGGTTGTAGAAAAAATGCTTTTGAAAGTAAAAAAAAAAAAGCCTCTGATGAGGTGGGCAGGGTAAGCGAGCAGCAACCGGGCCAGGGACCGGTTCGGGGCATGGCCAGCCAATGTTATTACCGGTTCTCCGAACTACTACTAATTTTTACTACCGGTTCTTGCGAACCAGTGCGAACCAGGAGCAACCCACCACTGGTTTAGGCAGTATTGAGGTATAGTAGTGCAATGAAATGAAAAACAATGAATACTGGGACCAATGTTAAGCAACCTGTCCTTCATAGCATCAATGATTATGCATGTGAGCTGAGCAATCAGTTAACTTAGCGAAGCAAGAAAGGTGTTACTGATATGATCACAGAAAAACAACATGGTTAAAAGTTGCATCATTTTTTAAAATACGAATTCAGGTGTTCCTGTCTCATGAAAGATATAAACAGGTAGAAACGAACTGTAGAAAAATATAAGACTACAGATGTTCCCTTCTTTCAATATTTATAACAGAAAATTGATTCTGGCAGGAGAAGCAGTTTTTTGAATATAGAATTAATGGTTAAAAGGTTTGTAAAAAGGAGAGTAAATATATCAGTTAATATGAAAAAAACAAAACCATTTTAGGCAGGAGTGAAGTATTGAAACAATATTTTATCCTTATGGAAAAAATTAGGACAGAATGATCAAGCAGTAGAATGATTATAGGGCACAAAGCTCATTAGCAACTCTTACATATGAGTGACCAAGGAAAAATGTCTGAAGGAGTCAGTTGTGTTCATCTGCCATACGTTTCATCACTCAATTTATTCATCAATAGTTATAGCTGCTCTGCAATCCCAGGATAAAACCTGCAATAGGGAGGAACATTGTTCCCCATTTGTTAAATGCTGTGCTGTTAGGCATATTCTGTTAAAAGTCTACGCCAGGGGTGTCAGTCACGTCATCATGTTGTTGTCACGTGACATATCGTGACTTTTTCCCCGTTCGCTAAACTGGGCATGGGCGTGGCCAGTGCGTGACGCATCTAGCCAGTGGTGGGATTCAAATAATTTAACAACCGGTTCTCTGCCCTAATGACCGGCTGATTGGGTGGGGCCGTGGAGTGGAATAGCACTCAGCCTCCTGCAGCACTCTGCCAGTCAAAACAGGGTTTAATTACAAAATGTGGGCTTTGCTTTATGACATCCAGATTCAGCGAGCCAGGGGTGTGAACTGCACAGAAAATACACTTTTGTTTGGTTATGAAGAAATATTCCCAAAGTCAGATGTACACTAAACGTGGACTGACTTTTACCTACACACCTCCCCAGCAAACAGCAAATTTTGAAGCTCCAGGTAAAGAGGATTCATTTTAGGATGAGTAACCACAGTTTGCATGTTGGAGGTTCCTAAAGGAATGCTGGGAAACTCTGTATTTTAAAGAACATTTGAGGGAGGGGTGCAGAATAGCCCTTCTCTGCCTGACGCTGTAGAGACCCGGCACCAATCAAAACTCCAGTACCGATGATGTTGCCTACTGTAGTTTGGTAATGAAATATCTGCAAGAAAACCATCAAGCTCAGAGAGAACCAAGGAACCCACAGTTCAACCCTAAACTACAAATATTCTCTTCTATCGATAAACACTTTTTGGTTAGAGGAACTCAAAGCCTGCATTATATGAAATGGATTTCATTCTAAATTTTGATATGACTTCTGTAAATAAGGAATGTAGAATTATAATGGCTGAGTATTTGATCCTTCATACATCAAAAAAATACAATGCTAAGGGATAAGAAAATAAAAAACAGATTTGAAAAAAGAAAAGGCTCAGGAATGAAAAAGAGTGAAAGTGTAAAGAAAGAGGAAAAGAAGGAAAACTGAAAAAGAATGACTTACAACTTTTTTTGGAACAGATATAAGTAAAAAAATATATCAAACTCTTACTCTAAGATTAACATTTGTTTATATTATTTCCGTAATCCCTTATTTAATCATCAAAGCCCAGATCAACTTTTAATTTCAGTTTCTCACAAAAAGCCCAGTAATGGTTCATATCGCTTTAATCACTATTTGTTAATGAAACCACAACTGATTTATTTAATTGCACCAAACTTTAAATAAAACAGGAATGGAAAATCCTAAGATCTAGTGTAGACCCATGCTTCTCAACTTTGGCAACTTTAAGGTGCATGGACTTCAATTCCCAAAATTCCCCAGGCAGCATGAAGTTCACCCATCTTAAACTTGCCAAGAAAACATTGAAAAATGCTGATCTACATATAGGGATTTTTCCATTCCTTTTTTACTGATTCCTACTTACTTATGAGCAATCATAATGCAAAATCCCCATTCCCAACTCACCTCACAGTAATGATCATGCAAAATCCCCATTCCAAACCCCTAGAGCAGGGGTTTTGGGCCTGGAAGGCCTCCTGCACCACCCTGGAAGCCAAAATAGGCCCCAGGGGGACAACTGGGAGGGACGGGTGGGGCCAGCCAGAGATGGGATTAGCCGGTTCTCTGAACTGGGCAAAAAGTTAACAACCAGTTCACCCAAATCGGTGTGAACCGGCTGAAGCTCACCTCTGCATCTGGTCTGCCAGTTTGACAGCCCAGGTCTACGCAAAGAATTTTGAATGGTCTATGCCTGGACCAACATGTTTGTTATGTACACAACAAAGATCTGGAACTGTATGTGTTTTATCCAGACAGGTGTGTTCTAGGCAGAGATGCCCCAGAATCAGGAGAATGTGGAAAGAAATAAGGTCACCAGTGATGGAGGCTAAAGGAAGGGATACGAGAGGAAGGCATAGGAAGGTGGATAGAAGGGTAAGCAAGCCATTTGGATACATTTAGCACCAAGCTGACAGTGATGCATGGTTCAGGAAGGTCTGTGATGCATGGTTGAGATCTGGGGGAACAGTAGAAACATGTTTGGCCTGCTGTGTTGAGTTAAAGCATGGTGGGACAGCAGCACATAGGTAAAGAAAAGTCTTGGGAAGGAAGTGTAATGGAGAGTAGAGCTGACCTTGTGCATAGGGAAGGAAGGAATGAGCCACCAAGGAGAATTTGCAGGGGAAAATTGGAGTCCTAAAAAAGAGGGAAGCGTGAGGAGGAAACTATAAATAATTCCACCTTATGTTGTTCAATTTAAGATGGGGCAGAAAGGAACTTGACAGGCTTTCAATATTCTGCTGTTCCGCTTTGCTACAATAAAAAGTATTCCTGGAATCCATGCCGGGCCTGTTTCTGGACTTAGTCTACTTCAAAAAACAAGAAAATGATAGGAGAGCTGGGCCCACGGCAATGCAGAGCAGGAGAGAGGGGCAAAGTGCACTAGTCTTATCCTATTTAATCTACAAGAACCCTCTGGATTTCTCTAATCTGTCTCTCAGTTCATTGGGAATATGAGGCATGTGGAACAGATCAGGAAAACATCTGGGCAGTGTGTTTATCCCCAGCTAGGAATAAGACACATTTTGTGCAACTCCCCAAATATATCATCCACCAATTAATGGTTTCAGCTGCACTCTGACTGAAGGGGACCGCTCGTCCTAAGAATGTCTAATTTGTCTTTAAATCAAAGGGGAGTGGTACCTCATTCCTGGATAATTTCCATCCACCACCAAAAAGGAACATTCAGGTTTCAATCCAACTTTCTCATTTTTAATAGACCAATGGAAAGGGGAAAATAAAAATTCACCTTTTTCTGTTGTCTGTCCCCATCCAGTTATAAAACATGGCATCTCATCATTTAGAGCAACAGGAACATCAGGTATACAGATGGGCTGGATATATTGATTGAATTTGATAGACTCCATCAGTTTGAACAAGGCAATGTCATTCTCATAGGTAATCTTGTTAAAACTGGGATGCATAATGATAGCCCTGATCCGGCTTGCTTTGGTATGGATGTGGTATCTAGAAATATGATGCAATCCAACCACAGCTCTCCAAAACGAAGCGACCCTAGAACAAAATAAAGCCCTCTGTAGAAATCAATGTGAGCTGGCTGTAGAATTGTATGGCAGCTTCCTAGACCCTGAAATTTGCACACTTTTACTTACCTTTTACAAAAGTATTTTTGTCAATCTTTTTTAGATAAAGAGACAATGAACAAGCAAAGGGAAAAATAATTAATGCAGAGATATAGTATCAATAAGTGGACAAAGTTGTTACTGAGAGTAAACAGTCTCAGTAAGTCATTGATGGAAGATTAATCATAAAAAATAGAACACATTAAATTATTTTTACAGTTTAAAAAAAGGATTTTAGAGCTTTTTTAATATCTGAACTGAGTGTCAAAGTCTCCACTGTTTTGGCATTTAAGAATATCAAAAAGGGATTAAACAGGAACAGAATTAAAAACATTTTAGGTAAATATTTAGTTTCTAATTTCCTCTTTGCTATACTCTGAGTGGTATATAATATTTATACATTTTCATGTCTTTTTTATTTTGATTTTTTTTGGTCAAATTCTTTTTACTTTTAAAACACTTTAGATGTTTATATCTGGTGTGCTGTATCATATGGAATATACAGCATTTGAAAGCTATTTTTGCTTACCAAACTGTTCCGTATGCTGTTAATTTTGCTGTTAAAATGTATTTTAGGAAATTGTGATTTCTTTGTTTTATAATGTCTTGGAATTATGGCTACTTAAAAAAATGTGATTCATAGTACTGTGAATAGTATTTCCATGTACTGCACTTGGGATTTTTTTTTTACATGGCCACTATATATGGTTAATCATCCCTTCTTATCCCTTATGACATTTTCAGCATGTATTACTACATTTGGCAATTATTGATGCATTTGTCTATTTTGGGAATTTTATACAATGTATAAAGCATTAAAGCACACCAGTTTTCTCAGTTGTAACTTGGGCTAAATTATATAGATTTGTTCCATAATTTTTCCCATACTTGTGTTGTGACCTTAAAGTTTGCATCCATTTTCTTGTGCTTTCTCTCTCTCCCTCTCGCTGTAGATAATCTTCTATAGTAGATCATTTAAGATATTTAGCCCCTTTCTCAGAGCATTACTTGCACTGATTTTTAGATATATTTGTGGTCTTTTTCAGTCTTCCTTGAATTAGTTTCAAAGTCCTTTTTGTTGTTGTTATGCTCCTCTGGCAATGGCAGATGGACAGTTAATACAGAGACAAAAGACATTCTGCCCGGTGGTTAAAAATAAAATTTATGCAGCCTAACCATCATGAATTCAAAATATCAGCCCAGATTCCCCAGCAGGAAAGAAGTAGAATAAAATGAAGAATAAGAATAAAAATAAAATACTGATAAATGGATAATGATGCAGGTGTGAAAACAGACATAAAAATAAACCTGAATAAGTAAAAGAAAGAGATTCAAAATTGGCTTTAAGAGGGAGCTCTTGACAGTAGATGCTACGTGGACACCATCCTCTTTGTTGGGAAGAGATATATGGGGTCAGACTGGTAGTTCCTGGGAAGACCTCTGCTGCTGAGATCCATGGGGGAAGGATTGTTTCCGATTCTTTCAGGCCTCCTGAACAGCTGAGAGACGTCTGATTTTTGAAAAAGCTTGGTTAATCCAGGGACTATTTGCCTTCTCCTTTTTTGCGATAACTCCCTCACCTCCCTATCTGAGTGATTCTGAAGTGAAGCATTTAAAATAAATCACAAGCTGAAAAAAGTGGGGGGCCTGGATGTTCCTCCTCCATTTGGTGACCTGACGCTTCTCCTCAGGGGTGCGTTCTAAATTTTTTTACTACCGGTTCTGTGAGCATGGCTTATTTTATGGGCGTGGCTTGATGGCCATATAACAATTATTTAGGATTTAGCAGAGTTACGATCTACCCATTTATTTTTGCAGGCACTGATCTACTCATGTATTTTTGCAGGCACCGGTCTACTCATTTGTTTTCTGATCTATAGGGCGGCCCTTTGAAGCCCCGCGGCAAGAGTTTAAACAGTTTTTTCCCCTCTAGCTATCAGCTGGGACTCAGGAGGCAGCAATAGATTGGGGGTGGGGCCAAATAAAAGGTAAGAATAACACGGGGGGTGGGGGCAGGGGGGGGCAGAACCGGTTCGGTGACGTCATATCGTCACCGCTACTGGCTTGGCGGAACCGGGAGGAACCCACCACTGCTTCTCCTCATAGTAACAATTCAAGCCTCTGCCTAAGATGTAGCATCTGAAGAGCAGGGCACCATCTCCTCTCCTACTTGCTTCTCCTGTAGGTTGTGCCAAGTGAGAAGCACTAATGTGTAATTTTTCATTCCTTTTTATCTAGATCAGGAGTGTCAAACTCAATTTCAACTGGGTGGGTGTGGCCGACTGGGTTGACGTGGCCAGCTTGATGCCAGTCCCCAAACTGCTGGCATGTTTCCTCTTCGCATTGGATAAACTGGGCCGAAGCCACACTGTTTCCTCTTTCTGATGGGTAGACCGGGCCGAAGCCACACTGGCCCACTGTTTCCTCTTTCTGATGGGTAGACCGGGCCGAAGCGATGCAGACTGGTCCCTTACATTTTCCAGCCCACCAGCCAGAGGCAACCACATTGCAGGCCGGATTTGGCCCACAGGACTTGAGTTTCACACCCCTGATCTAGATGGATTATCCCTGGCACTAAACATGGCAGTAGCAAGCTATGAGGAAGAGAAAAAGAAATGGAAAAGATGATAGAACAAAAAAGAAAGGAAGTTTAGCTTGATTTGACCATATGGGAAGAAGGCAGAGGTCCCAGACGTGCATGGTCTCTGGACTAATGAAGGTCCAGAACAATATCCTCTCACAGGCACAATTTCAAAATCATCTAGCCATGCTTCCAATATGAATGAGAAGAAAACACCCACTATGGAATGCTAAAGGAAAATGTCTCAGATTACGCTAATTAACAAAACACAATCATGATGGTCAGATCAAATCAAACTCAAGCTGCTGGCAATGGTTTTAAAATGTCATTTTAAGAATCCCACTCCCATCTGAAATCTCCTAATAGCCTACTAGTGAAGAAATATAGCAACATCAATATCATCCAGCAGATGTCAGGCACAAAAATGTTAGCACCACTTGTGAAGTTCCAATCAAACTGATTTATTACTACTCAGGCCTATGCAAGAATCTACTCAACTAATGCTTAGCACTTGTGTGGCATTAAGAGTCCATGGAATTCAAGGGGAATGTGGTGAATTTAGACCATTTGTGGCTGTGTAGAGATTCTAGGCCGATTCCTCTCTTGACTCTGCCCGCACGTTCTGCGCTCCTTCTCCTACATCAGAACATTGATTGCCAGTTATTGGCTAAACTCTATTCATTATTAAATGGAACTAGGATTAAATTAAGATAGAAAAACAACATGAAAGATCAGCCATTGACTCATAGCTTAAAGTATTAAAGCCAGCACCCAAAAAAATCAATAATTTAAACCTATGATCCTGAATCAACAACTATTTTGGGCTTTATGCTTTTTAACATTTATACTTTATTAGGTTCTAATAGTCTAGTTGAAATATTAATTTATATTGCTAGTCCATGTATGACATGGCATAGGCTAAACAAATTGGCTTTATGGGCTCCTTTTTGTAACTGGGGAAAATTACATAAGGAGTCTGATGTTTGCTACATTTAGTATTAAAAATCCCAAGTGTACAATTAAAGTTTCTGGAACCCCAACCGAAGTCTCATTTCATACATTCTTGTTCTTCAGACCTCACAAAAATCATATTTGGAAATAATAATTTTGAGGGGAGTAAACATGTTTACTGTTATATTAGAAAAGAATTTACTACTCAAGTACAAAGGCCACAATCTCTAATCCAGGGGTGTCAAACTCAAGGTCTGTGGGGTGCTTAAATCTGGCCCGTGGTGCTGGCCTGGAAACATCAAAGGACCGACTCACGGTGCCTCTGCCAGCCAAAACAGGCCACATGTGGGCCCCATGCGGCTTATTTTCAGCCTTCTGCAGTACTCTGCCGGCCAAAAACAGTCCGCATGGAGGCCTCGGAAGGCTTCGGCACAGCCCATTTTTGGCCAGTAGAGTGCTGCTGGAAGTCATGGAGAGCGAAAATGAGGCGCAGGGGATTGCCGCTGCCCCCCCATGTCCCGTTTCGACTGGTAAAGTGTTGCAGGAGGCCGAAAATGAGACAGACGGTGTGCCCCATTTTCACTGGCAGAGTGCTGTAGGAGGCGTCTGTCCCATCTCCCCCTCCACTCCCTGCCCCCCCCGCCTGTGGAGAACTACAATGCTAATCTGGCCCTCAAAGAAATCCAGTTTGACATCTCTGCTCTAACCCATTAACCATGAATGAAGAGATTATTTCTCCACTTTGGAAAAACAAAAAACAAAACATAAGGTTTTTTTAGACACATTTATTTGTAAGTGGAAATCTGACATAAAACTCACAGTTCACGCAAATGGAACCCAATTTAAGATTCATCAGAAGCTCCAAAATAGAATGTCAGCTAAATGTAATTGAGTAAACAGTTATAATCCTAGTTTAGGCATGAAAGCCAGCTTGGTGATTTTGGGTCAGTCATGCACTGTCAACCCAACTCACCTTACAGAGTTGTTGTGGGGAAAATAGGAAGAAGAAGGAATACAGGTAGTCCTCTACTTACAACAGTTCATTTAGTGACCATTGAAAGTTAGAACAGCACTTTAAAATGCAACTTGCAACCGTTTTTCAGTTACAGCCTTTGCAGCATCTCCATGATCTTGTGATCAATTGCTTGACAATTGGTTCATATTTATGACTGTTGCTGTGTCTCCAGGTCATTTTGCGACTTTCTGACAAGCAAAGTCAATGGGGAAGCCAGATTCACTTAACATCTGTGTTACTAACTTATCAACTGCAGTGATTCACTTAACAACTGAGGCAAGAAAGGTTGTAAAAGGGTGAAAGATTTATACGATCTGAAGAGAAACCAGAGTAATTGCTAGATATTGGAAATTAAATGTTGACTTAAAATTAGAAGAATGGTACAATGAAACATGGAAATTTGCATTAAATGATAAATTGACTTGTGATATTAAAATTAGAAGTGGTATATATAAAGAAAATGTTTTTTGGAACACTTGGCAACCATTTGTGGATTTTGCACTTGGGAGATTGGATGAATCGGCACCAGTACCTTATCAAAGAGATTTCTGGAAGAATTGAAGACTTCAAGTTCCTAAAACTTCCTTTCCATTTATATAGCACGTTGGGGGGAAAAAATTTTTTTTTCCTTACTATTGATTTTTTGTATTGATTTTTTTTTCCTTTTTGTTATTTTTTAACAATAAAAATATAATAAAAAATTTAAAAAAAAAGAAAAAGAAAAGAAAGGTTGTAAAATGGGGGAAAACTCACTTAACAAATACCTCACTTAACAACCGAAAGTTTGGGCTCAATTATGGTTGTAAGTCGAGAATTACCTGTATTAGGTATTTCACTGCCTTGAGTTGCTTATAAAAATAATAAAGATGGGATAAAAATAAATAAAAATATGCTAGTCTCAACCTTCCTTTTCAACTGCTACCTAGATCTGCCTAATTTTCTTTTTTCTTAAGTCCGGTTTCTTCCAGTCCTCTCAGGTACTTTGCTTCTGAGATCTCTTACTTTTGGTTCTGGATACTGACCCTAACAGATTTTTTTATTCCTTCAAGCTACTCTCTTTTTTGCTCTTTAACTTGAGCAGGGGATTGGACTAGACTTCCAAGGTCCCTTCCAGCTATATACTTATTAACTTCAGTTTGCAGCTCATCTACCTTTAGCTTCCTTCCTCTATATTTCTTTCAGCAATATTTTTGTAGGCTGCTTTATTTTTCCCTACCCATTTTGACTTTACTCAGCTGTAGTCTTACTATCATAGACTGATATCGCTTTTGTTCATACCTATTGTATGACCGAATTAACTAAATATCACATAAGCAAAAGCTGCCCATTTAGGTAAGCATTTTAATGTAGTGCTCTGCAGAGCTATTTCTCACCTAACCTCATTGTGGACTGATTTGGGATAATAAAAGTTAATGTCAGCAACATATATTTTAGTAACACTAATGTTTTATTACAAGTTCAGGAAGCCAAGATCAATTCAAAAATATATTTCTAAATTCAGCCAATACTGTATAGGCAAACCAAGCCTTTTTCCCCCTTCTATACTGATAAGAGTAGTTTTAAAACGGAAGAGAATACATACGTCCATTCTTTAATGCAGTGTGAAGCTGTCAACACCGAGTTGTGATTAATTAATGATCCACCACAAGCATGAACAAATCCTTTACCGAAACGATAAAGCTCAAGACTAACTTGCCATGGCCACCCGCCAAGCTGAGCATCAAGTCCACCAACAATTCGTGTCCCTGTTACTATGTTATCCACAACTGGCCTTGTTCCGCAATCTAGGAGGCAAAAAACAGTGCCTGTTTTAAGGATTCCTCCACAGACATAAATTCCTTGACAAGCAACGGCAAGTTTGAAATTGGCGCAAAGAGCGATTAAGTAGATGATGGTTGCGCAATATGGGCGCAGCCAGCTTTTATTTTAAACCAGAGGCAAGTCTGATGTTGATGATATTCTGATGTGGAGGGGTGACATGATAGCAATGTTAGAAGAAATATCCTTCTGGGTTCAGCTCCAAGTGGGGAAAAAAAACACTGGAAACACAGAGACTGCTTGGAAAGATGGTTTAATGGTGGACAGGATCACATGGTTTGAATTCCTGAACAGAAAAGGGCCTAGATACAGCGAGTCCCCGGGTTTTATGCCCTCTCTGGCTTTGAACTTCCCGGGGCCCAGAAAGAGTATCCTGATTGTCAGCCTCCCAGGGGGTGGTGGTCTTAGCTAGCCTTGCTGGCTGATGTAATCTTCCCAGGTGCCATGTAGTGAGTTTCTGTTGCTAGATGGGTCCTATTGTGTTGCAGATGATGGTCCATTGACAAAGATGGGAGGGAATTGAGTTTCTGCCTCTGGCCCATTGACAAAGGGTGTGGGGGGGGAGCAAGAAGGTGGGAGCTGCTTCGTCTTTAAAACATGCTTCTCCCATTTCTCAACCGGGGAAATATAATATTCTGCCTTTTTAATATTTCCTAAAATATTTCATTCTTCTAGGAAAGGGGTGGGTGCTAACTTCCTACAGCAGTATTCCAATATTTGAGGTGGGGCTACCACAAAGAAGAGAGGGGTCAATTTATTTTCCAAAGCACCAGAGGGCAGGACAAAAAACAATGGATGGAAACAATGGAGAGAAGCAACCTGGAATTAAGGAGCAACTTCATAACAGCGAGGACAATTAACCAGGCTAACCAAGGCTAGGTTAATTAACCAGGTTAACCAAGGCTAGCTAAGACCACCACCCACTGGGAGTCTGCCATCAGAAATTGTGGGTGCTCCATCACTGGAGATTTTTAAGAAGAGACTAGATAGTCACTTATCTGAAATGGCAGAGGTTCTCCTGTTTGAACAGGGGGCTGGACTAGAAGACCTCAAAAGATCCCTTCCATCTCTATTCTGATTGATGTGTTCAAAATACAGGCAACGTGAAATACACCTCCACCTCCTCCTCCTCCCCCACCCCGTGGCGTGTTCCTTATTTCAGATGCCTTACTTTCTATTTAGTCTCCCCACCCATATTTTCCTATCCATATGCCTGCAAACATCCCTTCATATCCCCCAGAGCTTCTACTTCTTTCTGCTCTGTTTCTTCTTGGTCGGGATTTCTGAGCAAATCTCCAGGGCACCCACTGCCACCCTGCCCAGGACAGCCGTTATGGACGTTTGCAACGATCAGCTACTTTCGAAGGCGAAGAAAACCTCCCACTTCACGTTTTTTTTAAAAAAAAGGGGGCGGGATTTCCAATCCCCGCTTTGCGGAGTTGCGCCTGGAGTGAGATTTAGACGCCCACCGCGAGGCGCTCTGGTAAAGGAGAGGTTGTCGGGAGTTGTAGTTCTCTGGGGAAGGCCAGCGGCGCGGCCCACGTGCCCTCCGCGGCTTGAGGGCGGGAGCGGTTGGGCCTTGCTCCTTGGGCGCGTGGAGCTCTCGGGTGGAGAGGCGGCCTTACCGGTTGTAGGGATCACAGAGGACAGGGCTTTGGGCGGGGTTTCGCTCAACAGAAAAAGCAGCGGGAATAAGGAAGAGAGCGGCGCGCAAAACCGCCTCTGCATCGTCGGTCCGGACCAGAAAGGAAAAAGACGCCCGCCTCGCTCGCCCTGCTTCCCGGCAGGAAAGGATGCCCAACGGCGGGGAGGCGGCCGCGGGCTCCGCCTGGAATGGCCTTTGCGACGCGGCAGCGGGAGGCCAGTTGGATCGAATGGAGGAGTGGGTGGGTGGGTGGAAGGAGGAATCGCGATCGCCAGTCCCACTGTCGGGTGGAGCGGAGGAAGTAAGATGGTTCGCTATTTCTAGATGATGGGAGAGGGAGAAGTGGGGAGAGGGAGCGAGCGAGCGAGCAGGCAGGCAGGCAGGCAGGCAGATTAATAATAGATTAATGATGATAGATTGACAGATGATGGATGGATGGATGAATAGATGACAGATTGATAGATGATAGATTGGTGAGATAGATAGATAGATAGATAGATAGATAGATAGATAGATAGATAGATAGATAGATAGACAGACATAGACAGATAGATACATAGATAGACAGATGATTGATGGATAAGATTGACAGATGATTGATAGATGGATAGATAAATAATGATAGTAATGATAGGTGATTATAGATAGATGAAAGATTGACAGATGAAAGATTGATAGATCTATATAGATATAGATCTACACATACATGCACACACATATTTACACGCATGCATACACACACACATACACAAAATTTTCTGGAGTAGAAAAATAACTAACCGCAAGCTTTCCATAGTTGCCAGACATAGCCAGTGTACAGAGAATATGGAGAAATCTGCTCTTTTACATCTCCCTTCAAGGCAGCAGAGATAAACTGGCTTTTCATTCCCTGAGTTGGTCTTTAATCAGACCTGCCCCACGGGAGTGATGGGAATTGTAAGCCAAGTGTTCAGAGGGCAGAAAGCTAGGGAAGATGGAAATGATGAAGCTTCACACATGTTCAAGTGGCATCTTAATCTAGTTCTAGAAGTTCTTAGGGGATATAGTCTAAATTATTTTGGATATTGTTCATTGCTTTTCTTGAATTAGAACTTTCTGCCCATTAGTGTCCTTTAGCATATCAATTTGAGATTGGAATCTTATGGAGGCTTTTGTAAGATCTTCCTTTTTTCTCCAGTGACTGTTTCTATCTTCAACATATTTATAAATGATGTTGTAATACTGCCCTTTGTCTTTTATAACAGCTGTCTGAAATTTTGCTATATTTTTTTTCTTGGCTTTGCCTTTTCTTCTTGGCAATTTCCATTGTTCTGACATCCTGTTTGCTTACTTTTGTTTATCTGTCTTTGGAAGCGTCTCTTCACAGTCATCCTTAATTTTTTAAAATTTCATTTCACTGGTTCCCTTTCACAGAGATTTAGGATTTTAAATTATTCTTGGTATTGTGCTGGAAAGTGGAAGGTATATGCTCAATCAAAACTTATTATTGTGGAAACTACTAGCTTTCTTCTTCTATTTTAGTTGAACATAGAACTGACACAAGAATAGTTTATGATCTGTTCAATAACCAGCCCATAGCCATATCTTTGCTGAGCTCTTTGATCTCACAATCAGTTATTTCTGTGTACTTTATCAGAAGTTCAAGTATATGCAGTAGGCATTGTTTTGATTGCTTGAAGACTGTTAGCAATGAAGAAATCATTGGATTCACAGCAACTAATAAGTTGTTCTCCTGTTTTTGTTATTTATTTGTATGTTTTCCTCACTATTTTTATTTTTGGCATTCCATCTCCAACCACAAGCAACTCGTTTTACTTGCATGTTCAGCTCATCTTTCTTTGTATATTCTGTTGATTTCAGATTGAACACAATGATAAAGCTCATGAACTTCCTCTTCTGCATCAGTGAGTAGAGCATATATTTGGTAACTGTCACATTAAAGGATTCTCCACGGATGTTATTTGTTCATTGACTACACTTTACCCAAGTACTTCCTTTCAATCCGTGGAATGCATTTAAGGCACCCATCTGGGATTCTATTATTACTTTTCCTTAGGAAAAAAATTCAGATATTCTAACCATGAATAATTGGAAAAGACAGATTAATTTAGAAATAAATAAGATTTTATTTCCTTGATTTCTAAAGGAAAGGATTTGACACATCCTGAAACATAGATTCATCTCATTATTAAACCACTGGAGGATTGGAAAAGAGCTGATGTGGTTACCATCTTCAAAAACAAACAAACAAACAAAACGGGGGGGGGGGGGAGAAACAAATCCAGGAAACTAAAAACAAAACAGGCAAAAATAAAAAAGAGGGTAGGGAACAAGAAAAAAAAAAAAAAAAAAAAAAAAAGGGGGGGGGGGGGGGGGAGAAACAGATCCAGGAAACTACAGACCAATCAGCCTAACATCAATACATGGGAAGGTACTGGAAAAAATAATGAAAAAAACAGATCTGCGAACATCTAGAAACAAAGTTATAAGTAGTAGCTAGTAGAGATTTGTTTAAAACAGATCATGCTGAACTAATCTTATTTCATTCTTTGACAAAGTGACTAAGTTAGTAGACCAGCGAAATGCTGTAGAAATTTAGAATTCAGCAAGGCATTTAACAAAGTAAACCACAACCTACTTCTTCGTAAGCTAGAAAAATGTGGGATAGACAAGATCACCAGATGGTTTGTAACTGGATGACAAACCATACTCAATGTGCAGTCTTTAATGGTACTACATCTACATGGAGGGAAGTAAGCAGTGGGGTACCACAAGGTTCTGTCTTAGACACAATACTCTTCAATATCTTCATAAATGACTTAGATGAGGGAACAGAAGGATAACTCTTCCCTGGACCCGGCTATATTATCAAATTATCGTCCAGTCTCCAATCTTCGCTTTGTTGCGAAGGTTGTTGAGAGTGTGGTGGTGCGACAACTACCCCGATACCTGGATGAAGTTATCTATCTGGATCCGTTCCAGTCAGGCTTCAGGTCACGATACAGCACGGAAACGGCATTGGTCGCGTTGGTGGATGATCTCTGGAGGGCTCGGGACAGAGGTTGCTCCTCTATCCTGGTCCTATTAGATCTCTCAGCGGCTTTTGATACCATCGACCATGGTATCTTACTGCACCGGCTGGAGGGGTTAGGAATAGGGGGCACCGTGCTTCAGTGGTTCTCCACCTTCCTCTCTGACCGTTCGCAGTTTGTGTTGGCAGGGGGGCAGAGGTCGGCCTCGAGGCACCTTATTTGTGGAGTGCCGCAAGGGTCAGTCCTCTCACCTCTTCTGTTCAACATTTATGTAAAACCGCTAGGCAAGATCATCCGTGGTTTCGGGGTGAGTGTTCATCAGTATGCTGATGACACACAGCTATATATCTCCACCCCAGACCACCCCAATGATGCCCTTGCTGTGATGTCCCGTTGCCTGGAGGCCGTGCGGATCGGGATGGGGAGAAACAAGCTCAGACTCAACCCCTCCAAGACCGAGTGGCCGTGGCTTCCGGTGTCCCGGTATAGTCAGCTGGTACCATCACTGACAATAGGGGATGAGATCTTGATCCCCACAGAGAGGGCCCGCAACTTGGGTGTCCTCCTGGATTCACGGCTATCTTTAGAAGATCATTTGACAGCCGTGGCCAGGGGTGCCTTTTATCAGGTTCGCCTGATACGCCAGTTGCATTCCTTTCTGGATCGGGATGCCTTGCGCACGGTCACTCATGCCCTAGTTACCTCCCGTATGGACTACTGTAATGCTCTCTACATGGGGCTCTCCTTGAAAAGCACCTGGAGGCTCCAACTGGTCCAGAACGTAGCCGCACGGGTAATTATGGGCGCAGCTCGTTATGCCCATGTAACACCTCTCCTACGCGAGCTGCACTGGCTCCCGGTGGTCTTCCGGATGCGATTCAGGGTGTTATTTATCACCTTTAAAGCGCTCCATGGCTTAGGACCTGGGTACCTACGAGACTGTCTTTTGCCACCAATAGCCTCCCACCGACCAGTTCGTTCTCACAGGGAGGGACTACTCAGGGTACCGTCAGTCAAATTATGTCGACTGGCGACTCCCAGGGAGAGGGCCTTCTCTGTGAGAGCTCAAACTCTTTGGAATGAACTGCCCCCAGAGATACGGAATATCCCTGATCTCCGTGCTTTCCGCCGTGCCCTCAAGACCCTGATGTTCCAACAGGCGGGGCTAAACATACGAACATGTGAATGATTTTTTAAATGTTATCTAATTCTGGGTTTTATTTAATTGACCAAACTAAGTAATAATTTTAATTAGCAATTTTATGATGTTTGTGTGTCTATATTTTTCTTGACTGTACACCGCCTTGAGTCCTACGGGAGAAAGGCGGTATAGAAATATAATTAATAAATAAATAAATAAACTCATCAAATTTGCAGACAACACTAATCTGGCAGAAATAGCCAACACCCCAGAAGACAAACTCAAGATCCAAAAAGATCTTGACAAACTTGAACAATGGGCCCTATTCAACAAAATGAAATTTAATGTGGAGAAAAGCAGGAAAAAACAAAGATACAAGTACAGATTAGGAGACACCTGGTTCAAAAATAGTAACAGTGAGAGGGACCTTAGATTCCTAATGGGAAACCACTTAAACATGAATCAGCAGTGTGCAGCCGCCACCAAAAAAGCTAATACAATCCTTGGTTATATAAACAGAAGCATAGAATCAAAATCACATTA